AAAGTCATATTTACTGAGTCCAACAAAACTCTTTAGGCAAAATGAAAGGAATTACACTTCTTAATTCCTCACCACAATAGTGTGTAGTCAAATATGGTCACTGTTCACAAGACTTTGTCTTTTTATTTGTTTGTTTGTTTCATTTTTTGTTTTGTTTTGTTTTGTTTTCTGGTACCAGGAATCAAACTCACGACCTCACACTTGCCAGGCAGCGGCTGTGTGGCTGAGCTAAATCCCCAGCCCCTAAGACTTTGTCTTTCTAAATGTCTGTCTTGTGCCTTGATGTTCCTAATGGAGCTCTAGAAAATTTTACATCCCTGTCCGAGGAAGACTTTTATAGCTCACTTCTATTGTCCTTATGAAGCAGGGCATCAAATATGGTGTGTCATGAAGCAGTAACCTATAGCCCCAGAGACAGTGAGAGCTTATGCGCTGGCTTGTGAGATGAGCTCATCCAATGTAGGGGTAGAATTACGTCCCCCTAACATTCATCTGCTGAGGTCTAAACGCCCAGTATCCCCAGAAATAACTTTTGGTGGAAATGGGTTATTGTTGACATAATTAGCTGAGGTCATGCTGCATAGCATGGGGCGGGATCCTGTGGGACACTGTCACAGCCCCTCTTCTGCTCCCTGTCTAAGCATCCCGTCCTCTCTTTGGCCACAGGTCCTGCTTCTGTGTGGAAGGCTTTCTCTGGCTCCCTGCAGCCAGCAGGTACATTAGTTTGATTCTAGGTCTCCCGGAGGCCCTGGCCCCTCTGTCAGCATCTCAGATTGGCCTTCATGGACAGAAGTGGGAGTGTTGTGCTTCCTCTGCACCATTCGTGTTCGCTCTCTTGTTTCCAGGGAGGAGGCAGATGCTAATTATTGGGTCCCTCCCCACCGCTGCTCACACTCTGATCAAGAAGACTTTCCTCTCCCTTCACTATCTCGTCAGGAACTTCACGCATTTGGGAATTTAATTCATGTTTGCTAGTGTAAAGACTGGGTCAAGTAGGAATAAAGAAACGAGTGAGAAAGAGTTAACCTGGAAGAGCGTTACTCGGTAATCTCTGCTACAATAAACACGATTATGCTTTTCCTCAAAGACAACGCTTTTTTCCAAGGGATGTTTAACTTTCTCTTAATGATGTCATACGTGGTAGGACAGCATTTATTTGTGCATAACTAACCTTCTTGAATGAATTCCCCATCGGCATATGTAATGCATTTTCTCCACTTTAGCGGTTCTAATCTCCGTGCCTTTCTCCCCACCATACATACAGCCCTACCTGGTGGCTCATGTCAACAGTGACCTTTGTGTTGTTAATTCCCAAGGGACTTGTATGCCCTTCATCTGGAAGATTCGGAAGCTGTGGGCACCATTTGTTGCTGTTTCCTTGTTGCCCTTGGCTTGCCCTTCTGACCGGCCAGTCCGCGGGCTTTCCCACCGCTGTCTCAGCTGCTTTCCTCACGCGCTTTTTCAGCTGTCCTTGCTCAGTGACTGTGCGTCTCAGAGTTTCTCCCGCAGCTGAGAAACCCAGGGATCTTGATTTCCTCTTCCGGCGCGGTCTGTCTTGGCCGTCCTTTACCTCTGGGTTAAATTACCGTACAGCAGAGCCATTGCGGCTGCCTTTCAAGTGTCTGCTCTCCAGTTGCCCTCTCTGACTTGGCGTCTCCGTGGTACCTTCGCTGGGGCCCCGCCTCCGTGTGCCCGGACCCCGCCCACAGTCAGCCTGCCGCAGAGTCCTGCTCCTCCTCCCACGCTCCTGTGTCACTGACTGAGCCATCGCCCCCGACCCCCAGGGTCACCACAGCTCTTCCTTTTTCCTTATTTGTCCAGTGTTTTGAAACTAGACAAGATTTTACACTTTAAATATTTTGCGAATCCATTTTTCCCATCGCCCTGCCGACAGCAGCTCTTGTGTGCAGTGCAGAAATAGCGGAAACGGCCTGAAAACGTCTGCTCTTGCCGTCCTTACGTCCTGAGAATAGTTAGGGGGTCTTCGTGGAGAATGAAAATGTAGGGCTGACTTTCCCTTGCCTAAGAAGACTTATAAATACCTCCTCATTGCTCTGAGGCTGCAGTCCTAACCCTGAGGTGCTATCTGTGCAGCCTTGCAGAATCCAGCCTTAGTTTAGGTGTTGCTCCCTTACTTCATCTGAAAGAAGTCTCAGACTTGGTAGCGGCATTGGGTAAGAAGCTTCCCTTGACTCTTACAGAACACGGTATTAGGTGAACCCCTATGTGTAAATCGCATCCTTCCTTTTGTACCTGTCATCGCGCTGAAAGTTGTAGAAAGCCCACACATGACGTATTTCTAGTTCCACAAAGTGAAAATTATGCCTCTCTTGTCCACTCTTCTGTCTCCAGGGTCTGGTACGGAGAAAGTACTCAATAAACACTGATCAAGCACGTGCGGAATAAATGAACGTGTTCAGAGCATGACTTGCAGTTTAGCTTTCCATTGCAACATGGTGTTCGCTGTGTTCCACGCACATATCACAGGATGCTCCACGTAGGGGTACTTAATATTGTGACAGGGTGCCGCAAAGAGAAACCACAGGGAGTAATGGTTCCTTCTCACGCCGCCTCTTGCCTGCACAACTTGCAAAGTTCGAAATATCTACAAGGAATTAGCTGGGAGATTACACAGTAAAGGCCATATTATCGTCCTAATTCCCACCTTTTAAGGGCAAAGCGATGAAAGCTCATAGGGCATTCTTGTGTTTCCTGATTCCTAGTAGGTAATTTAATATTGCCCCCCTGCAGTGATGCAGATGACGGGAAGCTGGCTCAAGCAATGGATACTGAGGCAGAGCTGACTTTGTACTTTCGGTAAATAAGTTGTCTTTATTAATCCTTGAAGTTATCAAAATGATAGACAGTGGATGCAAATACATGTAAAGAAAACTCCCATTGCAGTCCACACTTCCTTCCCTGGGGTAATCAGTTGACAATCTACTGTGCATTAATAGTATTGGATTACTCTTCACATACTAGTTATAAGCATAATTCTTCATCAGTATATACAGATCTAACTCACTGTTCTTAAACTACATAGTTTTCTATGGTAATGATAAACACAGTGCACTTAATCACATTTGAATTAAAAGGCACTCATATTGTTTCCAGGGATTTGCTACTGTAACTAATACTGCCATGGATATTAGGATACAGATACCTTTATGCAGTAATACATTTATTTCTAGAGAATATATTCTCAAAATAGCACAACTGAGTCAAAGTATATGCCTTGGAGTATGTATTTTTTTATTTTAGTGATTATTTATGTTTTTCTCAAACAGTTGCACAAATTCATATTTCCAAGATGGTGTCTCCTCCACTTCCCTGTCACTCCCCTAACCTCGGCACGGTAGCGCTCTCCCATTTCAGGGTCAGACTGGGCCTGGTAGGAACTTCTGTAGTGTATGTTTTTTCTCCTTTACTCTCAGGACATTTCTTTTTCCGTGTAGTGCCTGTTTTACTCTTCTGATAAGTAAGACTCATGGTCTGTTCTTAGTGCCAGAAGAGCTAAATAAGAAAAGAAAATCATAAATAGCTCGGAGAAAATACACATGCAGGAATATTTCAAGTAAATGTCTATTATAGAATTAAGCCTATACCTTGATCAAAATATTTGACCAATAAACCATCCAGGGAAAGAGGAACCTTGAAATTATTTCATTCCCTCATTCTCACTCACTCTGACATCTCCTGCTACCTTTAGAATGCCTTTAGTTCCATATCTTTTCTCAACCCTTCAACAGCTGAACTCTCCTAAAATAAAGGTGTAGAATCCCTGCTGTAATTAGGTTTCCCATACATTTCCCATATATGACCCTCTTATATTTCCCATATACTAACCTATCTTTACTATGTATTGTAAGTTTCAACACGTGTAGTCATTCTTCATTTCCATTTAACTGTACTATCCAGGATTTATCTCTTTCTCCCCCTGTTTGGAGTTCTGTCTCTGACCAGTGGTTATGACAGGGTTAGAATAATTCTTCCCGTGTTGTTCTCAGGTCAGACACATGTGAAGTCAGGAATTTGCATGTTTGAAAGTGACTGTCTGAGCCCAGGTGGCTGAAGGTCATCTCACAGAGTTAAGTTCTAGGTTTGCTGTATGGATCCCCTCAAGTTAGCATAGATGCTACCCTGCTGTCCTTGAGCTTAGGGTGTTACAAGTGAAGAGTCTGATGCTCATCTTTTCCTGTTTCCTTGGTACAGAATTTTTTCTTTATTGAAGAAGCTGTTAATATTATTATTTAATGTTGTAGCATGCAAATTTCAGCTATGTGACCAGGAGTCTGTGAATTCCATTCCTCTGGCCTCAGATTCATGCAGACTCAGCTGCTGCTTCATCCTAGGTCAATGTTCTTGGTCTTATCTCTTGCCCACGTTCATTTCGGTCATTCAGGGGCTCACATTCAAGGTACTTGGGTTCAGGGGTCTGTCCCCCCACTTGTTCAGGTATGTATCTCTTTTGGTTTTTGTTCTGTTTTGTTAGTTTTCTACTCCTTCTGTAATACATCGCCCCAAATCTGGTGGCTTAAAGTGGAGCAGTTGGATGGCACGGCAGCTATGTCAGGTTCCTAGTCCTGAAATGCAAAGATGAGCAAGGCAGTGCCCCTTGCTCCAGTCTCCAGGGAAGAGGCCCCTCCTCACCCTCGCCAGCACACGGAGGCCACCATGTCCCAGGATTGTGGTCCCATTTTTGTGTGTTCAAAGCCAGCCATGCTGCGGCTCCTTGGCTACCCTGTAGCAGCCACATCCCCTTTTCTTCCTCTTCTTCTGCCTCTGCTACTTACAGCGACCTTGGTGATTCCGGTGAGCCCACCTGGGTTAGCAAAGCTAGCCCCCTCCCCCACCCGAGGTCCTTCACTTGACCGCATCTGCAACTGCTCTTCTGCCACACCAGGTGGCACTGCCCCGTTTGAGGCACTGGGACGTGACCATCTCCGGGGGCTCATTGTTGGGGCACCACAGTGACTGACCCCGGGCTCTTATCCCTGCAGAATCCAGTGAACATGAAGACAAGAGCGCAGGAGCCTCAGGGGAGACGCCCTCCCAGCCTTACCCCGCCCCGGTGTACAGCCAGCCCGAGGAGCTGAAAGAGCCCATGGATGACGCCAAGCCCGGCAAGCCCGAGGAGAGCGAGGATGCGGACCCGCTGCCCGACAACTGGGAAATGGCCTACACGGAGAAGGGCGAAGTCTACTTCATTGAGTGAGTGTCAGACGTCTCTCTGAACATTGCCAAGATCATAGCAGATACCAATGGCGCAGGCATTGGGGTATGGTCAGAAGAAAAGAGGTTTTATGGCTTCTGCTAATAGCTTCCTTCTTGTGAGAGAATATGGGTTAGCGCCTTGACACAGGCAAGTTTCCTAGAATACGGTCGTATAGCTCAGAGTGAATTAAGCAATTAGACCGTAACGTAGGTGGCAATAGTGACTCAAAAGGCAAATCTCTTTTTGATGTTATTATTAAACTAGATTTCGCAGGAAAATGCTCACCCGCAGCCCCTTCAAGGACCTCGTGGAGCCCAACTGAGATCTTGCAGGGCCCCACCAGATAAAGTCATTTAAAGTACAATATTTGCTTGTCACAAATAAAAAGTTTTGTGCTTTCACACAGAGTCAGGCATTATTCAAATAAATTATTTTGTGTAGTTCCTCCTATTTGACTAAACTCCACTTCATTCGTTGTTTAGCAGTTTTATAGCTTGCCAAAGAAGCTGCAATGCAAACCCTGAACTCCTTGGTAGTGCTCAACCTAACCTCTTTTCTTCCTGTAGAAATTTCTTCTAAAATACTATTCTTCATAAGTTTTATAAACAATAATGTTCAGCCAGACAACTGTAATAATTTCTAATTGACAAAATTGTACACATCTTACGGGTGCAGCACTGTAGTTGGACCATATAGACGGTGTGTAATAATCAAATCGGTAGAGTTAGCATTCCAACACCTCAGGTGTTAGCTTTTGTATATGCTGAGAGCCCTAGAGCTCTTGTTGGTGTTTTGAGATGTGTAGATAACTTTTGTAAACAGTAAATGCCCTCCTGTGCCATGTTGTGGGACAGTTTTTTTTTTTAAAGGGAATGCAAAATTAAAGATCTTGCCCCAGAATTACATTGTTTGATGTGATTAAGAAAACCAACACATTCATTAGAAGCCATGAAATCTAGAGATATTATAAACACATACAGTACTCTTATCCTTTTGTTTGTATGGACCTCATAGGGAAAAATTACAATAGAAACAAGTTCTTAGTGCCTCTGGCAGTAGATAAAAATATGTAAATACTGATTATTCCACAAAAATACTAAAACTCATTCCCTTTCCCAAGCTGGAGTGATTCATGACTTAGATCTCCATAGGCACAATTCAGTTGTGAAATTGAAATGTTACCACATACCAATATTTAATTCTCACGTGAAGCTGGGAACGTTGCTACATGAGACCACGTGAATACATAATCAGATAATTACTTAGCGCTCTGCCTGGTGCCAGGGTGACGGCAAATGCAGGTGTTTTACAGAAAATGTGCCCCTGGCACTCACCTTCCCACAGATGTGCTTCATTTATAAGAAGAGTAGAATCTTTTATATTATTTTGTATGATTCTAGCCAGGGACACAAAGATATCTTTTATGAATTAACTGAAAAGAGAAAATTATACAGATTAAAAAAAAACAACTAAAATGTTACCAATACAGTTGTGTCTAGAGACCTGATTTTGACAATTTTTTCAGTTCATATGACCAATTATTTATTTTTAATAAGATTTTATTGGTACATTTGAGATATACATAATGATCATATTCATCACAGGGAATGTGTACCTGTCCATGATACAACTTGATTCTTTTTTCCCATTCCCCTGCCCTCCCTTCAACCCCTCCTCCCCTCCGCGTTTACAAAAGCTTTGTTTCCATTCTTTCCTTCTTTTTTCATTTTTTATACTTTTCCCTTCTTTCAGCCATACCACCCTGAGCACACCCAATTTTGTCTAATTTTGACATCAGATAAGCACAGCAGATGAGAAGTAAAAATATCAGTTCCAGATGTGAGGTCAGACGTGGCATTCAGAACAATTAATGTTGAGAACAAGGAAAGTGATGATATGTACTTTTTTTTTTTTTTTTTTGAGACAGGGTCTTCCTATACAGTTCAGGCTGGCCTTGAGCTCATTTGGTAGCCCAGGCTGGTCTCAAACTCACAGCAATCCTCCTGGCTCAGCCTCCCGAGCGCTGGGATTACAGGTGTGCGCCACCACACCTGGCCTGCTGATATGTACATTTTAATGCATTAGGTAGTAATGAAGCGCACGGCAGAGTAAGGATATGCGGAAATATTAGAAGGAAGCCGGGAAAAGTTGATTGGACAAGAGTTTCCCACAATGCTTCTAGTAATGCAATTATAAACTACTTTCTCTGTGACAGTAAAATAAACCCTGTCGGCTGAGTCAGGTTTTAGGGCTGCAGTGAAGAGGGACTTTACAAGACAGAAATTGTGCTCTGTACATTTAGTAAATAGTAAGGCTGGGCTTGGGAGAATCTAGCAGAATGACTGTTGGTTTAGTCAGTCAGGAAGAGCATCCAGAGTGTTTTAGATTTTGTCCCTATTCTCAACCCTATTATCGAGTGGGGAAGAGAAACGATTAGTTCTGAACAATTAGTGAACAATCTCTGAATGGTGCCATACTCAGAGAAGAGGACTGGATCGGACGTCAGATATGAAAGGGGGTAGCAGGGAGCGTGAGGGGACAGGGCTCGGGAGAGGCAGGTCATGTGCAGAGCCTGTGGGGTGTGGGTAGGGGACCCCCTGACCTGCTAGAGAAACCCTGGGAAATAACTTCAGTTATTCTTCAGTTCAGTTTTCCTTTTGCTAGGTCATTAGTGCCTTTGAAAGGCAAGCAAAGGTTTAGCAATTTTTTATTGTTTTTTGTTTATTTTTTGGTTTCTGTTTTTTAATCTCCTTCCTAGTGCTGCAGGGAAGGATCAATGAGCAATATCGGGAGGGAGATAGGTGGAGGGGGAAATGAAGATGAAACAGAGAAGATGATTTTGTTTGCCGGAGAGGGCAGATGCTGGGAGGGAGGGGAGGAGGGGGCGGCCCATGGCAGGGCTGGCCTGGCTGTGGCTCTGGCGGGAGGAGGAGGAGCTGGGAAGCAGAGGCAGGCAGAGGCCACTTAGTGTGCGCAGCTTGAAGGCAGCCAGGCTGCTTCCTGCGGGATCAGGTTCTGCTTCTCCTCTCCCACCTCCAGAGGGGGAACGGGAGGCTCAGAGCTCGGGCCCTAGAGCCGGAGTGCACCTGTGTCTCTCCCTGTGGGTCCCTCGTCCTGCACCATCCCATTCGACGTCCTTCTGTGCCCTGCGAAGCCTCCCTCAGTCCTGAACTCATCAACACGTCCGTCTCTGGGGCTGGGGATTCAGCTCAGTGGCAAAGCGCCTGCCTGGCAAGCGCAAGGTCTGAGTTCGGTTCCCGGTACCGGAGAAAAACCAAAAAAAAAAAAAAAAAAAACCACGTCCGTCTCCACCCACTGCCATCCATGTGAAAGCACCTTCGCCACCGGGTCACCGGGGACCTTTTGTCACAGTCCCTTCAGGACAGATCTGCAGCAGGCAACAGTGGGTTTGGCACTGAGGCCCTTCGTAGGAACAGAGAGCCCTGATGTGCCCAGGGCGGTCCTGAAGCGAAGTCTTGCTAAGGGAAAGCAAGATGTAATAGAAAGACAGAAACATGTTGTGTGATGGCGAACACACGCATGACCTCACGTGCATTCCAGGTTGTGTGTGTGTGGTGAGACCTTTTAAAATTGACTCTTGGCCCTCATGGTGCACGGCTGTAATCCTGGCATTCGGGAGGCTGAGACAGGAGGATCGTTGCCAGTTCCAGGCCAGCCAGGGCTACACAGTGGGTGTAAGGCCAGCCTGAATTGCACAAAGAGCCCTATCTCAAAAATAAACATATATACATAACGAATACATATATTCTCAGTCATTTTTATGTATGGCAGACAATTTTTGTCAATTAGAAAGGAATTATTTAATAAATAAAATAAATTTTTAAAAATAAATCTAAACACTTATTTAAGTGTGTGTGTGTGTGTGTGTGTGTGTGTGTGTGGTACTGGGGACTGAACCCAGGGCCTTTGCGCTGAGCTACATCTCAACCCTCACCTTTTTTTTTTTTTTTTTCCTAATTTTGAGACAGGGTCTTGCTAACTTTGCCTAGGCCAGACTTAAACTTGTGATCCTCTCCTGCCTCAGCCTCCTACATGACTGGGATCACAGGTGTGTGCCACTATACCAGGCTTATTTAAATCTTTTGAATAAAGACTAGCAGAGTCAGAGGAAGATCAGATAGACAAAGGGGAAAGTAAAACAAGAGAAGCTCGGATGAGGGAAAAAGAGCAAACCTCAGCAAAAAGTCTGGCCTGTGCAGACACTGGGATCCCTGTAAGCGGCGACCTCATGCTGCAGCTCCACCCCCACTGGCCTGGAGCAGCGCCCCCGCCAGGCAGCACTGGGTGAGACCACCGAATTGTGAAGTAAACATCATCATAGCACAGAAAATAACAGAAAGACGGGAGAGAGGGCGCTCCTTCTGAAGTTTATACAAATAAATTCATATCTAAACCTAAAAGAAGAGCTTTATGGAGCACTGAACCACGAACTAAAATGTGTATATTTTAAAGGATACATAGAAACATGGGTTTTGCACTGAGGAAACAAAAAGTCCCTTTATTTCTTTTCTACACAATAATGTTTTAAAGAGTATTTTCATCTGTCTGGGAGTATAAACTGATTTGTGTGGCTCGGCCTTTCAGAGGTTTTACATTTAGAAGACGAGTTTTTGTTTTTTTCTGTTTTGTCAACACAGATGAATTAGTGGCCAGCTACGTTTCCGGTGTTTAAATGGCTTTTTTGACAAATTCTAAAAGCAGCCTTCTTTTATAACTTATGGTGATATTTAATGGAAAGGTCAATATGTGGTAAAGTACTTTTAAAGAAAGTAATTTTCAATTGTGAGTGAACACACTTTTCTAAACATGCTTTAAAATAGTAATAGTAGTGCCTTCTGTTTAGGCATTTTAAAAAAACATTTAAATGCATAATATTGTGAGAAACCAGTCACTTCTTTGACTTGTACCATCAACTTCCTTAATATTAGTTTTTAAAATAGGCAGAATATTAATTATACATGCAAATGAGGAATAT